GTGGGAAGGGGAGAAGGCTGGAACCAAGGGCTTATGGCAATTCCCATCAGCCATATTCCTAGCCTCCTTCCATTCCTGGTGTTTTATCCTGACAGCTAAACGCAGGCATATAGATAAAATATATTGTGCAAGGTATGGCAGTGGTGAAGATCTTATTCCATACAAAAGATACATGTAAGTTTTCAAGCTCAGGAGAAGGAAGGTGGGAGGGAAGGAGGTGACAGAGGGAGCAAAAAGAAAAGCCAAAAGAAAACTCCAGAATGAATAGCAAATATTCTGAATATGAATGAATAGGGTGCGCATTCATGCACATGCATAAGCACAAATAACGGATGGTACACTCAACATTTTTGGAAGCAGTCTATTTGTGCTGGTGCTCCAGGCAATTTTTTGAAAATGCCAAATGTGCACACAGGCCCAAAAGGCTGGAGACCCCTTTGAAAATGATGACACCCAGACATTTACACAGCATAGAAAGGCTCATGGTGGGGCTTCAGGAGAGGTTCAATCCGTTAGAAAACTAGAAAGGCCAGAGAGTTTAAGAGAACTTCCTACACATTTATCATTCAGTTATGTAAAGTATGTAGTATTCTAACATTGCTACTAGGATGCTAAAGTTAGGAGAATTTATTCCAGTCCTAAGCCTTTGTAGACTGTAAGTTTCTCACTGTTAGTTTAGAAGCAAATGCAATACCAGGAGAAGGGAAAGGACAAGAAGAAACTGTGAGGTCAAAGTTCATGTGTCTCATGCTAATCACAAAACCGGGCCACTATTTCTGAAGTACAACAAACCTGGAGTCCAAGTTATAGCAGATCACCTGTTATAGATCCACAAAAGCAATAAGCTGGCCAAGAATTGTTGGGCAATTACATCAAATGGTAGTTAAGTTGCAAGCAATGTGCATCTCCTTTGGACAGCATATTTCATTCACAGAATATACAGGCAGGTGTACAAAAGATAAGGCTCAGCTATGAAAGGTTTCAGAACAGCATTACAAAAAGATACATTCAAAATTATGTACTAAAGGTTAGAATCTAACATGTGCTGACGAATACACAGTAGGGCTTACATCTGAGTAAACATACACAAAATCAATTTGCAAGTCCTAAGTTCTAGAAGACTTTCAGTTAATACCAACTCCACACATTACTCAGATATATCAAGTGTGCCTGTGGCTTCCTACAAGGTATAAGGTAACCTCACATCAGTGTTCATAGGAATAGGAGGCAATAGCAAGGCCAATTAAGTGAGCACAAAATCAAAGAAAGCGTGCTGAAGTTAGTAAAGGAACAACTTCAGCATTAATTAGTCTTGTAATTAGCAAGTGAAAGTAAACACAGCTCAAATTTGAATAAACTACCTTTCCCATTATTAAAAGATCATTAATTCACTGCTATGAAATTAAGTCTGAAAGAAACAAGACATACATTTCTGTAGTTGACATGAAGTATATGGATAATTACACTAATAAATGAAATTATTTGTTGCTGCAAAGTATATTAAAGTGCTATCACACTCTGAATAGTGCTGCATTGCATGATCAAAGCTAAGAACACTGTATATTTGTTTACAATTATTCACAAGTGCCTTATTTTTCAATTATTCACACATTTGATATAGGCACGCAGGTATATCACTCAGTGAAGAAATATGCAGCTATCCCAAAATTCTCCTGCGTTACTAAGGAAAGTAAATGCACCATGGTGGAAGGAATTCTAGGAAAGGGCTGGTAGGTTCCCATTTCCATAAAAAAGTAGTTCAGCTGGAGCAATGGAAAGGTAACAAAACAAGGTGAAGAATATATTCATTTTCCCTTTTCACCCACTGTGACAGGGCCTAGACAGCACTTTTCCCAGAAAGTTGATTGGAATCAGACCTCAAACTTGCAAACACTTCCTACCTTCTTATTTCCACTCACTACTGCAAATTAAGGCAGATAAACAGAAGATCCCACATTTTAAATAACCACACAATCTCCTATTTAGATATTGCCTCTGCCCTGCACAGAAGGGAACTGAAAAGGTCACATTTGCTCAAGGAGCGCACTGAAACATTCACAAGCATGCACTCAACACCTGTCTCTGGCACCATGTTCCCACATGCAGCAAGGAACTCTTAAGATGTATTTAGATGCAACAACCTATGTTAGTCTAACTTAATCTCCATGCATTTCAGTGGGTCTACTCTAAGAATGAATAACACTGAATACAAGCCAACAGCAGCAGAACTATAGTACTTGCCAAAATGTAATGCTTTATAAATATAATGTCAGCACTGGACCAGATCAGATATCACTGTGCCTAATTGCCAACCCATAGTTTGGCAAGCATGAGCATCCCCTGGACTGCCAAAGTCCTCGCCTTTATGAAATTTTCTGTTCTCTAGTTAGCAACAGGTATGTTTCAGATATGTAATGCCGGAACCAACACAGGCAGACTCAGTTTCTGAACTAGAAACTGAAAACAAGATTAGAAGCTAGATCCCAAATAAAATTATGCAGGTTCAGCTATAAATGCTGAACCATGGTTACCATTAATCAAGTCAGAAAGAATCACAAAATCCCAGAAAGAAACAACAGGCAATCCCATGGTGCTCTAAGAAAACAAAATGGCAATTCTTTCAAGTTAAACTTATTCAATAAAGTATGCCTGCTCTGTAAATACTGCCACCAGAAGTGCTAAAGTTCATTAATCTCAAACTGTTGCAGAACCCTCTTTTGCTTGTGTCATATCACCAAGAATAAATTAATAAACTCAAACTCTATGTTAAACTTTACCATAAAATCTTGAGAAGGTCTCCACATTATCAGTTCAATTATTGCACAGGTCGACCACACTATCTCAGGTGTCCTCCAGTTAAAATCTACAGTAGTGTAGCATATGTTTATATTGTACCAGATAATTTCATATTGATAAACCATCCCAAGCAAAGACAAGTGTATATCTGTAAAGAGTTTGGCAGAAAGAAAAAGAAATGAAAAATGAATATGGCATACAACAGGAAAAGGGATTTTTGTTGATGTAACAACACACAGTCTTTAGAGACAGGTGAAGTCAGACCAACCAGAATGGAAAGACAGGCACTCTGCTTTACAAAACCTAAAGCATATCATGAACATGCAGGTTAGTATATTCTTTCACAAACAGGAGCTACTTCAATGAAATGTATCATCTTACCTATTTTGTATGCCTCAACTCCAAAGGCTTCATTATGGTTTACCATGCTAATGATAGGTGGATTATACGAATAGTGCCTGGTCCCACATTCTCCACAGAGGGCAAGAACTACTGTGAAATGATCCACAGCCCTAGCTGTTTCTTCTCATTCAATTCTCAACATTGCTTCCACAAACAAGAGGGGTTTTTGGAGGGGGGGTAGAATCCATCCCTTGCAGTCATTTGAAAGAAGCACTTTGACTATTGAGCCATTAACATTGCCCACTACTTTTCCACCAAGATTTTCTCCTTAAGACTTACCCAGTTGTGCTGGGATATTAGTAGGAACTCTTAACACAGGAGTGATCTTTCAATACCATAATGCCATGACTCTGTTATATCAAGGCACTAGGGTAAGCCAAGGACAGAACAGTAGATTAAAGGCTGCCCTCTTAAATCAACACTGTTTTTAAGGTCTCAGTCCTTTCTCAAAAAAGCATGCACAATGTTTCAGATAAAACATGTTTTCCTATAGAGCACAGATATACAGCAGAAAATGATAACACACAGAAAACAAGACACTTCAACGTCACAGGCTTACATGCAGAAGGTAAAAATGTTCACATACCATATGCTCCATATAAACACAGCCGCAACATAATACTCCAGCATGCCTTAGTCCATTGGAAACCCTCATAAAAATGTTGAATAGGAGTCACCCTTGATACGTAGGGCAGAGTACACATATACACAGTGCACTGGCGAAGATTTAATGCTATTAGTACTATTAATATGGAGCCGGGGATGAAGGGTTGAAACAGGGGCCTTCCTAAGGACAAGCTATTAATCTGAACGTGCAGTGCCACCGTAAGGCACTAAAAATGCACAACTTTCCAAACGAATGATACACAGAGGAACTTCACAGCAACAACTCTGGGGCAGGCGGGAGAGAGAAGCGTTAGCCGTACACAAAAGCCCTACAGACCTGAGCACTGGAAACTGCTGAAGGTGGCCTGTAAGAGGAGAGGGAAATATGTGTATATACACGCGAGCGCGCGCGCACACACGAGGGAGGGAAAATGGAGCAGTGCCATTCAGGGTCTTGAAAAACACGCACAGGGGAACGCTGCACCGCCCCCTCTCTCTTCTATCAGATCAGTGGGACAAAGGGAAAGTTGAGGGGGGGAGAGAGAAAGGGAACGATTGGGGGCTGTTCTTTCTCAAGGATTTTCCGGAGAGAGGGAAGCTCTCGGGCAGTTAGTTCTCCCTCTCGTGATAAGCAGTATTTTAATGTGCCGGTGGAGGGAGGGGAGACGCTCTCATTGTGGCATCTCAAAGGAGTAAATGGGGGACCGCGCAGAGAGCTGTACGGCTTTCCCTCGCCCCGCAGAGCGTCCAGGTCGGAATGCTGAAGGAGCGGGAACGACTCCAGCACCAGAGAGCGAGGGGAAGAGAGGCGGCAGCCACGAACTTTCTCTTCTCTTCCCAGCCCCTTCCCTGCCTCCTTCTGCCCCTCTCCTTCAGAAGTGGTGCCTCCCCCACTCGAGGGTCGGGGGCGACCGCCAACTGAACGCACCGCTCCCAGCGGCAACTCCGCGGCGGGTGGGCGCGCTAGCAGGAAGGAAAGAGGGAGGCAACAGGGATGGGGCGGCCATTAAAGCCGCTCCAATCCAAGCCGTTCCCCACACACGGCGGCAACCGCCCCTGGCCGGCCGCTTCCCTCCTGAGCCTCGACCTTCGGCTCCCGTCTCCACACGCACACATACCCCATATTCCATCAGGCCGGACTCAGACCCGCCCTGCTCCTGTTGGCTTCGGCTTTTCTCCAGCTTCCCATGACCTACCTGGTCGAGGCTGCTGGTGACTTCAGGCGGCTGGGTGTCTCCATCTCCCCCGGGCGGCCCCGCTGCCCAACGAGTCGCCATTATTTCATTTCCCAGTTACAAAGGATGAAGAAATCCGCCGGAGTACACATTGGGGAGGGGGTGGGGAACAGACATATACAAAACTGTATATGGGGGAAGGAGTCGAGGACCGAGTGTGGAGGGTGAAACAATTTTCTTCATGCATCGAAAAGAAAAACGCCTCTTCTGTCTTGCCCCTCCGCTAACAGAAAAAAAAGCAAATATATATATATATCCGCCTCTTGGAAAAGAGAAAAACGAGGACGCAAAGTGTATACACAGGTCCCGGCCAAGCCCGGTCTCCACAATGGGGTCTTGGGAGAGGAAGGGAAGCGAGTCAAGACGCTGCCATGAAGAAGGGAGAGGGAAGGAAAAGATCCCGCCGGACTTTTTCAGCTGGACTCTAAAATGTTCCCCTTCATCGCCCAGGCGAGGAGAAAAGGGATGTGTCAGTGGCCGAGGGAAACGCTGCCGCGCCTCCTGCCGCCGCCACCCGTCCCTTGTTAGGCTAATTGCATTGGCTCGTCATCTTCCTCTTCCTCCTCCCCAAAGCCCTAGACTCAGAGAGGGCGGCGGCGGCGAAGGGAAGCGCTTTCTGCTCCCAGCGCCTTCGTACACACACTCGTGTCACAGGAAAAGTGAGGAGGGGGAAGTTGGCCAGGGAGGAGTGGGTGGGAAGCGATTCCTGTTCCCTCCCTACAGCCGAGATTTTCCTTTCAGACACCGGAAGGGAGCAGGATCCTGTCCAAGTTGTCGAGGAGAGCGGATGATCTCTCTTAAAACCACTCTCCGGAATTTCAAAACTTTCCTGCCCTACCGACTGTGCATGTGACACGGAAGTTTGCGTGCATCCAGTGTTACGAGGATTTTAGAGTCGGTCGAGGCCAGCAGCAACGTGAAGCGTGCAGACGGGGAGAGAACCGAGAGGATCCAGGAGGTTCGTTCTTCCCGGTGGAATCCGTCCGCGAGATCGGGGTGCAAACGACTTCCTCAAGTTTGCTGCTCACGCGCCGCGGGTGCGTTACTACTTGAGCACTTGGCTTCTTTGCCCGCCTGCCCTCGCTCTGGGCGGCGAAGGTAACGAGTTCTGCCTGCAAATACCGACAGCCCTGCAAAGAACTTACATGCTGGACTATAAAACAAGCGCTTTGCAAAACCGCCTCTGCGCCTCCTCGGCGACGCACCACCGTGCCTAATTCCTGGTGCCCTTCCCAAGGGGAAGTCACCTCACGCTTCGCGAGGTGGCCCGGCAGGCGCGGCGATGGCGAAGTAAAGGCTAGCAGATGGATTGTGTGTGGTGTGTTTTTCCCGGTGGGATAGGAAGGGGGGGGGGGGGTGGCAGACGTGATTAAGACTCCAGCGCACTTTTAGTAGTCTCCATTACATTGTCCCAGTGCCTGAGGCAATCGCAGCGGTGCCAGCTGCACCCATGTCTAGTCGGGCTGCCAGCTGGGCGCTGCGTGTTCCTAGGTGCTGCTCCTCCAATAAGGGAGGGGGAGAGGAGACGGAATACTAGCAGCATATATATAGTTTACCCCCAGCTCAAGGCATGGTTTTCTTGAGCCGGGGGAGGAATGAGCGGGGAGGGAAGGTAAACCACACACCCTTCCATTGTTTGCTTACGCGCCACCCAGCCTAGGCAATCTGTTTCCAGACCGAGACAAGCCAGGCGCTGCTTATACAAACTCCCCCGAATTTGTAGCCAACAGGCCTCCGCCCGAGCTTGACATCGAGGTAAAAGGTGCGCTCTCCCTTTCTCCCCCTCTCGCTTTTCCTCTCTCACACACACACGACGAAGAGCGCAGTTCCTGGTTGCCTGAAAGAATTCCCGCGTCGCCGCATTTAGGAAAATAGCAAAGAGAGGTCTACTGGGACATCTTCCCGCCCAAAGTCCCCGCAGGCCAACGGCTAGCAGAAAGCCTCGCCTCTTAGTTCCCTCCTCCGAGTCACGCCGAGCTACAAAAACACTACTCAAAGTTGTGTGAAGCCAGCCCCTTTTAAGCGTTGCCTTACGTTCTGGAAATCTTAGGAATTTCACAGCGGAGAAGGGAGGATGCCTTGAAGTCTACCCCTCCCCTTTTCATTCTGAATCCCGAGCATGTGAGCACAGGCTTCGGTTTAAACAAGCTTTAATGTATTTGTATTTACTGTCTCGGGGGATCAGTTCGCACAATCCCCATTTTGGAAATGCAATGAGAAAGTAACCAAGTTTAGGTATGAGGCAACTGAGTGTGGACTTCTACGATCTTTCTACCTCTTTTTTCCAAAAGTGGGAAGAATCACTAAAAACAAGGTCTAGCAGCGCTTTCAAGACTAACACATGTTGGCATATACTTTTGTGCAATAGAAGGGGTGGTCAGATGGCAATGGAATGAAACAGGTAGAAGCTGTGATAATTTTATTAGTGCTTTAATGTTTGCAACATTTTTATCTGATACTCTATTGACATTTATTCAAACTAAGCAATAACTATTCATATGAGCAGTAAATTATGTGAGATGATACACTCATCTTAGGCTAGCAATATTAACACTTGTACTGGACAGGAAACTGTTGTCTCTGTGCAGGCCCAGGCAAAATCAAACTGTATTACTAGTTCCAATTCTTTAATTCAAAGCTGGACTCTCCCTTTGAAATTCTTCTGTTGAAGAACATCAGCTTTCAGGTTGGCTGCTGAAAGTCCAGAGTGAAACTGTTCTCTCCTACTGGTTTCTGAAAGTTGCCCATTCTGATGTCAGGTTCATGTCCATTTATTATTTCCAGAAGGGACAGACCTGTTTTGTTTTGCACAGAATGCAGAATGAAATTGCTGCACCTGATAGAAAATTAGCCTTTCCCAACCTGGTGCCCTTGGACTTCAACTCCCATCAGTCCCAATTAGTTTGCCCAGTGGTAAGAAATGGTCAGAGTTCTAATACAAAACATCTGGCAGCCATGGGGTTGGGGAGGGCTAGCATTTCATTTTGGAAGATAAGTAGATAAGCCCCTAATGATGTGGCTTGGCTGATAAGTATTGCCTGGGTGAATAAAGAGATAGAATTTGCTTCTGGCCCTGTTTCTGGCCCTTTACCAGTCACAGATCCTGTTATATGGATGGCAAGGAGCTGTTCGGGGTTAAAGCTGGACAGAAAGATTCAGAAACCAGCAAAATAGCGTTTTGGTCTCCTTGGACACTCTGGTGTTGACCTGAAAGTTACTCTTCTCCCAACAAGATCTTCAAATGGAGAAAAGAGTGTGAAATAACTGAACTGATGAATAACAGAGCTTGAGTCTATTTAACATGTGAAATAATTGAATTAGACCTAACAACAAAGGTTGATTCTGTGAGACTAAATAGCAACAATGACTTCCTTTCCTACAGCCCTTAATTCACCCCAATGTGCTAAGGTGATTGTGCTATCACTAATGTCTGCTTTTATGATGCCTACTTTTAAGAACAGTTACAGCTGATTTTGCATACCTTTCAGTGCTAACTGAATTCTCACAGACTGCACCATCTGCATTTTATTGCCCCTAACTCTTGACCATTTCTTTTCCTTTACACCCTCATGCCGATAACACTGTATGCATCTGCCGAGGTGGTCTCTATTCCACAAATGTTTGTGCCACAATGAAAATGTCTTTAAGGTGCCCCAAGATTCTGCATTGCTTTTGCTGCCACAGGCTATGACTGCCGTCTTGAAATCTTATGAATCAAGTGCAGGCTTGCACTCTCACACTGTGCATTACATTGTACATGCAGAAGAATGCCCACAAACCCAGTGCTCCACCCAGCAGATTTCCAGATGGTATGAAAGGGTGCTTGACAACTGAAAGGCTAACACCTCGTCTTCCAATTCGTATGGTTAATAAGCAGTTGATATGAACTTTTCCCATTCTAAATGGACTGGATAGATTGGAAAGTAAAGTGCTTTGGAGACTATGGCACAGGCTGTTACTCAGATATTTGCCAGAAAATGCAGAGTTCCCCAGGCAAATAATATCTGGAAGGAATCATTCTACCCAGAAAAAGAGAGAGCCAGCAAGTTAGGGTGTTTGATAAGTAGTAAATATGTCTTGCCTTTACTTTTCACATTTGCAGGGAAGTGGACATAAGCCACATTGGGCTAGAAAAGAAGTCCTCAAGTTCCTTCCCTTTGTATCTGACAGTCTTTGGGCATTGGTCCTGTCAAACTCAGAGGCATGTAAGCCCCTGAATTTGAAGGCTTCTGTGCATCCAATGCCTGGCATAAGACATGGTAGAGGCATTTTCTCAAGGCAGCCATTGTTGGCCATTTCAGTTTAGTGCCAAGAGGAAGAAGGAAGGAGGCTGGAGTAGCAGTCGGAATGGAGTAATGGAGTCTGCAGCCTCAGCCTCCCTTTTTTTCCTTCTTTGACGCCCAGTTGTGACCAGGGGTGAGAGAGGGCTGCATGCTTCGTTCTGTGGGAGTTAGGGAGTAGCTGCACCTTTAGATTCCCAACACCAGGACCTTGGACTCCAAAGAATCCTGTGGTCTCCTGGGTGATGCTGGGAAGCCACAGGATTATGACTTAAGACATTTCACTTAGAAAAGCTATCCAGAAGATTCATGCCTCTGGTTTCTGAGGGTAGTATAAAATGCAGATGCACGCAGATACAGAGAGCCAGTGTGGTGCAGTGGTTAAAGTGTGGGACTGGGACTCAGGTGGCCTGGGTTTTAGTCCACACTCAGCTGTGGAGCTCACTGGGTGGCTTCAGGCCAGTCACAGACTCTCAGCCCAATCTGCCTCACAGGGTTGTTGTGAGGCTAAGATTGAGAGGAGCCGAAGACTTATATAAGTTGCCTTGAGTTCCTTGAGAGAAACTCACTATATCCTTGGGATAGAAATTAATAAAATACAGTGGTGCCTCATACTTCAGATTTAATTTGCTTCAGGAGGCTGTTCGAACTCTGAATTATTTGAAGTTCAAATCAACTTTCCCCATTAGAAATAATGGAAAGTTAATCCATTCCCAGACCCTAAGCAATACCCATTTCTATAAACGGCAAATAAGCATAATTTAAGGTAAAAATGACACGATTACATGCCAGAATTATTAATTAAAACTTGAAAACAATACAATATTTAAATATGTATTGTATAATAAAATGAAAATTGCATTTACTGTACTGCATGAGCATTTCACAAGAGATGTTTCACAGTGAGAGATAACCTGGGAGCACAACAGATAACATTTACACAGAGACCACATTTTTTTCACTGCACGTGCAGTTCAAACATAGAAGCATCATTTGAACTTCAGAGCAATTTGATCTCAACTTTAGCGTTCGAACACTGGATCGTTTGAAGTTAGAGTCTTTCAAACTATGACGTACCACTGTACTATGTTTTCCTCTGAGATAAGTGTTTTCTTAAGTTTTAGTTTCTGATTAAAAATTGTTCATGGGAATATTAGCAACTTCCCTGCTTTGTGGGACTAAATACCATCTCGAGGAAGAAAGAGAACATCATCAGTTTGAAGCTGCACTGTGTCTTTTTTGTGTACAATGTTCAGGGAAAAAATCCTCTTACCAAAATCATGTGCCCTTTTATTTAGC